ATTCCTTCATTTCCTGTACCTCACTGTGGGATCAGCATCATCATTTGACTAAAATGTGCCTCCATTAAGTGAAGTTTCTTGGTTCATTCCAAAACATCAATGCATTGATCTCTTCTCTCTGAATATCTCTTTACTTTTTACTCTAAGTCTTCTTTAAAAGGATATTTTAAAGTGAAAAAATAAATAATGACCTGTTGTTGTACTGTATACTCAGCTATTTCAGATGCAGGCTATATCTCTACATAAAATTTGGGAATATTCTAGGGCATTTAATTTTTTTTAAATACAACATGAAACACTGAGTAGTCTGCATTACAGCAATATTTGTGTAACTACATTATTCAAAAGACCAAAGCCAAATTGATAAGAAATAAAAAAAAATCCTTCTATACGTGGTTATCATTTCAGAAAATAACAACAGTCACTGCTGATCGCTTCACTTGTTACACTGAAAAATTAAAAAAATTTGATTCCGGAAGAAAATGTATCCAACTCTCCGATCTTACAACAACACACAAAAACGGAATAAATAAAGTCATTTGTCAGTACGCATGTAACAAACACCTCTATCAATACAGTTCATCTGTAAGCTCGAGCTATTACTAACAGATGACGGGCAGAGATTACGTTTGTTAAAACCATTCTTTATGTGTGAGACTGAAGCGTTGAAAACATGTTTTGATTTTTTTTCTGCTACTACTAGCCTAAAGAACTACCGGTAGATGTTTTCCAGATATTAAACTCCTTTCTGTTCTATAAAAAAATTCCCTAGGGCCAGTGTTCTATTATGATTTGAACCATAGAGAGCATAATGGTGCTTGAAGCGCCCCAGAGAGTTAGAATTGGGCTTATTTGAAGGGGTGAAATAAAGGTGACCTACAGAATGTGATAGTGATAAGAACTGCTTAGTAGTTTGTGTAATCCTATTCTCAAAGAATGCTAGATTAAAAAAAAAACATTTGAAATATCTCCACAGAATGTTCGTAGCTGCATTTCAACAATCAAACTTGCTAAGTGGTGTAAGAATGGTAAAAGAAGACCAAACAGCGAGCCTACGAGAGACAAAAACAAGATGAACTGGTTTCATGTAGATGCAAGATGAGTAGAACTACAATGACACCATTTCAAAGGAAGTCACCCCCCCCCCCTCTATTCTACCCGCCCCCTTTCCTCCATCTCCACCCCAACCCATGCAATACTGTCTAGATTAGCAGGTGACAAGGTGACAACTTATCAAGGAGTTTTCAGAAAGTTCCAATACTTGTAAAGTTTTTTTTAAATAAACACTTAGGCCATGGTTACATACTGACTAAATATTCTTGTGACCTTTTATTTATCCCACCTGCCCTTGTGTCCATGTTACAAATTACTTACAGCATAAACACTTCATTAGATACAGCTGCTTAGCCTTCAATCAAGACCTTGCTTTAAATCTCAAACTTCAATTGGTCCCTTGGATCCCATCAAGGCTCGGGAATGTACTTGAATTTCCGGCTGCCTTATAAATATGGTTACCACATGTCAAATTCGGGTATTTACACATTTAGAGGACAAACACTGAGGGCATTTGTTACTGACTGCTTCAAGTGTTTGGGTAAGATAGATAGTGTGGGGAAAAGTGATAAAACATTTAACTTATAGGCTGATAGACAAATGTTACAAATGTTTTAGATTTACTAGAAACTTTCAAAATACTAGAGTGACAAGGGAGGGAAAGAGAAAGTTATGTTTGTAATGAAAATGTTATGCTTGCGATCAAGAGAGGCTTTAGAAATAAGGAATCTTGAATATAGGCCATATATATGACCACAACAACAACAAAAGAAGACAAAGAAGAAGAAGAACGAGGAGGAAGAGGAGGAGGAGGAGAAGAAGAAGAAAAACGTATTCGCATTAATTGTTCAGGTACATGTATGGACTGTATCTAATAAATCCTACTTGTAAGTGAATACAAGGTAGAGTTTCCTTCAAAGTGTGAACTTATTATTATGAGTTATGACACACAGAGGAACATGGACAAATATGAAATATGGTTGAACACTGTTGGTCCGTTCCCACGGGAATCTGAGTCAGAGATTGAAGGTGTGTCCTTCTCTGAATCCTATCCAGGTGTATCCAAGCCTTAATGCCAAGAGACAGGGTCAAAACAAGATGACTTAGAACTTAGTCTAGGTCTGTTTTCATCAGCTCGAGATTGCCAAATATCCCGCTATTTGAACTATCCCAATCGCAAATTATCCAGTAAAATTTGCCTACAGTTGCAATTAGCCGGATATTTGGTCGAGATACATTAATCATCCCAAGATATCTTGGGCTAGTTTACAAAATACCCCGCTATTTGTCCGGTGCGCCTTCACCAGCCCGAATACTCGCACTATGCGCGAATGCTGAGCAAAATATCTTGAGCTAATCTCTCGATCTTGAGTTTCAAGTTTCGAGGTCAATCTCGAGCTGATGTAGACATGATTTGTAACTTCAGGATTATTTCCCAAATCAGAAATAGCGGGCTATTCAGCAATCTCGAGCTGATGAAAACAGACCTTCTGTGACACATTACCTGGGTCCCTCCAAGAACACTTGTCACAGGATTTATAGAATGGAGGTGTTACTCCCTTGTGTTCTTAAGTTGTGTCAGAAATCTTTAAGCGACACAAAAGTACCTCGCCTTGGCTTTCGTATACCTGGAACCCTTAATCAATGTCAGGAGTAAATCCAGTTTGCTCTTTGGGAGTGGTAACAGGTTAAACTACATACATATATGACCTCTCATGTAAATACAACCATATTTGTTTAACATATTACCTTGCTCTCAAAGTTTAAATATGCTACAAAACAGATTTATGAAACAGATTCCATTTACTTAAATACTTCCAAAACCATTATACAAAGCCATGATGACTGACCATGATATAGTTATTTGTTTCTGTCTATCTGTTGTTTTTTTTTTGTATGGGGGGTGGGGATTGAGGCCTTGAGGGGAACTTCATATCTAACTAATTATATTAATGTGTCCAGAAGAAATTCAAATCTCCGGATGATAGTTTTCTGTCTGGTAATGTCTCCTTGCTAATTTGTTTGCAATCAGAGCGCTAATGGACATCATGGATCTGAAATAAACATTGTGGTGATAAGATCCACTCCAAACTTCTCCAGCCAGACAGACAATGAGTGATTTCAAGTTTGGTGTTAGTGTTAGTGTTAGTGTTTAGAGCAGTCAAGAGCTCTTAAATCGAGCGGAGAATTTGCTGATGAAATTAAGAGCCCGATACCTATATCAAAATCGATAGTTTAACACCAGCCGTGACGTCACCACATACTTGATTTTACGACCATGATTTAAAATTAGTACATCAAAACTAAAGATATCATGAAAAGTACAGAATAAATTTACACCTATTTCTCTGGTCTTAGAAAATAACTTATTTTACACGAAAGAATATAGGAATTATGTGTTTCACATATTTTTATTTGATCGTCAGACAATAAATTGGCGTCGTTCGTGCGTTGAATGTGTGCGGGTACAACACTAACACCAAACTGGATATCAACATTTGCTTAATCCCTAGGGGCTAGTGTTAGTGAACAGGACATTTGTACGTAAAATATTAACACCAGCCACAAAGGTCGATTCAGCAGACGACAATTTTGCAAAATCGATAACACTAGCTACCGGAAGTTGACGATATTCAGAGGTCAAAGCCTTAACACCAGCTGATTTCCATTTCGGTGTTTAGGCTGGTGTTAGTGTTTATTAAACACTAACACCAGCCTTAAACACCCAACTTGAAATCACTCAATGTCCTTCACTGCTATGAGATCTAAAAACAAGTATTACAAATCATTTTGTATTGGAATGGCCATAACTGTAGCATATCATGACGTTGAATTTAGAGTGAGCGATTAATTGGTACCTAAAACTGATGTTCTTTGTTTTCTTGATCCCTCCTGAACAACAACCTTGAAAATGTGAATTACATTTTTCTAAAGTATAACAGACTAATTAAGGTACCTTTATATTGTAAATAAGGGCAGGAGACATATGAGTGACTGTCTAAAACTGTGTTCTGAATTAGACTTCCCCCAATTTTTTGTCAGAAGAATTTGCCTATCAGTGATTCGATATCTGTCCTACTTTATTGTTAAGTATTTAACCATTTTACGGGTAGTTTCTTATTTTTTGAACAAAATGGACACCTAAAAGACATCACTGTATTTAAAACAGTTCACTGTCTCAAATTTCAATCTAATCTTTGAGAAGCAAGACTGCCCTCTAATCCAAGGATTTGAGGGGATCATTGACATCTTATCGGACAAACTCAACAAGATCATCTTGTTTCCATCCCATTCCTTGAGTGCTATCACGCTAATGAAACCAATCCTGGTCCATTCTTTCAATATTAGTTGAGCTGGTGTTATCTTGCTATAAAGTAAATGATGAGTACTGTGTTCATGGTCTAAGCAAAATGTTGGCCTTCTTCTTCCTCTGTGTTTCAGAGGGTAAACAAAGATTGTGTCACTTTTGATTGAAGATGGTTGATTATTAACTGGGTGCCTTTCTTATTGATGTTAAAAGTACATAGTGTATAACATGATTTAGAAATGGGGTATACTAGAAGACTTGTTTGGTAATATGTAAATTAAGAGATATAATTCCAAAACTACAATGCATTAAAACTAGAAAACATCTAGGTTGTAGTGGTGACTTGTCCTCTTTTAAATTCAGATAAAGTCTATATTTATAGCCTACAAGCCAAATCAATTTCAAAATTCAAGGTTTAAAGATATAAGGCCTGAAATAGCCTGCAGAAAGAGATGCACAAATTGTCAATTCAGAAGGTTGTTTTTGGTGTGTTCTTTTTTTATTGCATATGATTTACTAATTGTGTGGTAATGAAGTTAAGTTGTCAATATTATAGATGGCTCGGGTTAGTTTCCAAGTAAAATGATATTTCCCACTGGCATTAAACTTTGACTAAAACAAGAAAATCGGCTAGACTCACTTGTGGAGGTCTGATCCTTATCGACAATCACCATACCACCAAGGTTCACGACCTTCAGCTGCCCTTCGGAGGTCATGACAAAGTTTTCATAACCAAAGTCTAGGAGCAAGACAAGCCACTTGTCACTGGAGTCATGAAAGTCTTCGATCATTTGGAGGATCTTGAGAGAGATGTCAACCCTGTCCTTCCATGATGCTTTGAGGTAGCTGCTGAGAGGTTTGCCGCTGGGTTCAGTCAAGATGACACGGCCACATTCTCCTAGGTACTCAGTGAAGTAAGGTCGGAGGGATGGGATGTTCCGGAAAAACTGATGAGAGTAAAAAGGAAAATATCTTTACATCTACTGAAGATAAATTATAATCAAAAATATATTTTCTAAAACCATTGTGCCTTAAAATCTCACTTGCCAAAGAGAAAAATACTCAATTACATCAAGTCATTGGTGTATATCAATTAAAACTTTGATCTTTTTCAAAAAATTGGTCGGGGAGGACCTAAAGCCATCAGGCCTCTGGTTGCTTATTAACAAGCATTTGTGCTTTCTTAGCAGTCAGGTAAAATAACCAACACTACTACTACTACTACTACTCTCTCCTTCCCTCTATTTTTTCATCATCGTCATCATCATCAATTCATCATCATCATCATCATCATCATCATCATCACCACCACCACCACCACAAGCACCATCACCACCACGACTACAACCACCACAACCACCACCACCACCACTATCATCATCATACCTTAAGTAAAGCTGGTTCTGGATTGAGAGCCATGGTTGTAGCAAGGATGGCCATCTCTGTTGATGCGATCCCTGTCCCCCATCTACTCACTCGATACAGCTGCTTCAACTCCTCAAAGAAATCTGGACTTGCACAAGTAGTTGCACTGTAGAAATAAAAAATAAAAAACATTAATAATGGATATGAAGCCAAATTGAGAGGATCTTTCTTATTTCTAGAGTACATGGTCAAGCATTTTTTCTTCTTCCAAAGCAAAGAGTATTTTCCTTATAAGTGTCTACATAGAGCCGGAAGGGTTCATGTAAACAGGATATTACTTTATTTTTTATTTTAAATATGGGAATATAGGCCTACAACAAATTAGAATGACTTACAGTGCCCATATATACCATCATTCTTAGATGTCCATATTATAGGAACTGAAATAACTTATAGTACGGTACACTGTCTAGTCATCATCAGTTCTAGGTCACTGAAAAGGCAAATGAAAAAGAAAGAAATAATGGAAGAAAGAAATAATGGAAGAAAGAAAGAGTAAAAAAAGAAGAAGAAGAAACTAGAATGCAACAGATAAAATGTATTCATGGGAGCATGATTTTAGCACCTACCAATGACATGTGAATAATCAGGAGGTATTGAAAGATACTAGAGGGAAAAAACTTCAAAAGAAATCTTTATTCAAACTTCAAAGCACACACACCAAAACAAAATGAGTCTTCTATAGGATAGCCTTTAGATATCCCGCTGACCTCTAAACAGTGACAATGTACACAGCAATACCACCTCTTATTTAGACTACCATGTTTGGTCCCTTTTCAATGAGAAAGCCTATGGGAAATATGGAGCAATACACTTATCAAATATTGACAGGTATGAAAGAGTTCATAAGTTCAATTTCCCAACCCTCTACAAACTTAGGCAGGGACCTACTTATATCTTTGTGTTTGATCTTACAAAATAACCGCGGCCACTCGAAGAACGAAGGACAATACACATGCACAGAGTAGATTAATTGCTCCTTTAAGCCAAAATTGCCACCATTTTCATCTCTGTCTATTCAAATTCAAAATAAGGCTACAACATACTTCATGGATGTAGTGTAATAGGGCCTGTCTGTTGCAAAACAACATGAATCATGTATACTCTTTACAACAATTTCATTTACAGGGAGACGGAACATGATACACGAACTCATTTTCACAAGCTTTCTGCATCCTTCTGGCAACAAAAGGATATTGACGTGACTAGGGAGAGAAGTGAACTTGAGCCATGAAAAGAAATCTGACCTACAAACTTAGCAAACCAAACATTCACAAACCTTGAACAGACCTCGAAAATAGGGGGTGGGACCAAGCTTACCCATTCATCAAATGCACAATAGCCTAGTCAGAATACTGGTAGAATCTAATCTTATGCTAGAACGCTCTACCAAAAGGTCTCTTTCAACCTTTAGATGTGTTGTCAAATTTCTTCTTTTTGTGTGCTCTCTTTTTTTCAAGTCAGTACAAAAAGGTTTGTTTGACGGAAAGTAAAGGGTGTCCAAGTGCATGAAACTTGTATTATTAGAGCGGTGTCACAGTTCCACCAAGCAAACACCATAGAAGAAAATACTTCCCAAATCCAAGGCTAAAAATTGGCATCATGTCTTTGAAGTCATCTATCTGTTATTCATTCATTGATTTTTCTTTATTAATGTCAACGTTAAGCTACTGCACTTCTCATTTCTTACCTTCAATCTATCAACAATCTTTGTAAGATTATGAAGAATGTCTACAAAAATATTGTAGCATGAAAAATAAAAAACAAGAAGTGATCATTGCCAGGTAAAAACTAAAAAACAAAATCCAAGGTTTTATATGAACTGAGCCTGTATTGAATGATGAATCCATTTCACCAATTCTCCCTTGATTGATGTACCTTTGGGGGGTAACCAAAATAATTACAAGCCTAATATGTCTATTTGTTGCAACTGTTTACATCATTCATGTATGTCAGAGGAACTTTTCCTCTGCCAAATAAATTATGATACACTGTCTCATCCTACTGATGTAGTGGATATCACCTGCTCAATAATGACAGTAGGTCTTATTTTGTGGCAGCACTCCAAACTTTCTGAACATTTCTTAAACATTTCAAAGTTTCAGTAGTGGCCTGTACTTTTTTGTTCAGAAGCACTTTTTTTCAAACTTGCTGAATGGTATGCTGACTTTTCTTTTTCTAAATTCTTAAAAGTTGAATTTAAACAATTGTCTTGATATTCCATTTCGAACTGTTTAATACAAACAGAAGTTGCATCTCTGGCACAATTGCAGATTTCTGAACACGAATATAGGAGCTAGGTGGGTGGTGGATGTACAGTTTATTTGTGTTTGGTAGGAGATTTTTGTATAGCTTGTATGATATATTGCATGAAACACAGTTGGTTAGCCCTGTTCGGAACAGCAAAGACGCTTTTGGCACATCACTGAATCAGGAACCAATTTCAGGTCATCTACTACCCGTCAACATCTTCTCATTTCAAACCCTGCTGAATCCGCTTCACGGTCTCGGAATTCAGGGCAATGTCCAGAGGTGCAACAAACTTCTTCCTTAGTAACTTTGTTCTACTTTGTCAAATCACTTATAAAACCAAGGAGAAATCCGACAGTACCTCCTTGGTAAAACTACCTTTTCATGTTGTGTGGAAGTCCTAAAGTGTGAAGAAATAGGGGAGGGGTGGTGGTTACTTTATATGAATGATGATGACAAACTCCATACAATGGGCAACAGAAATAATTTGTCCATGTCTGAATGAGCCAACGAAAATATTGCTCATAGTCCGCAAGGTTTTGTGTTATCCTTTATTTTCTTCATACTCTATATACCTATAGAGCCAGGGGAAGTCTTTTTAGGTTAATTTTATACATTCTACCAATAAACAATTTATTTTTCAGGTGATTGGTACACTTAAACGTGATTTTGACTTGTTGAGCATCAGAATGGGAATCACAATTGTAACTTGGTGTAAGGATGAGACAAGCCGGATTCCTCATTAAAATTAATAAATTGTATTTATGTTTTACAAATTCAGCAAGATATGAGTGTCCTTATTACACATCTATCACTCATCATGCCGAGCTAGATGTCAGCTATTAGACTCTATAATGACTCAATGATAGCATTTAAATTACTAAATGCCCACACCTGTATCGGACGAACCTGGTCCCTGAACGGATATTCAATCTGTCTTTACCTGGCGCAGAACAGAACTAGTTATTTTCATATCTAATACAAGTTTTGTATTCCGTCCTAAGATATAAACAGCCTGACCTTAATAGGGGCTGATGACTAAGGGGTATTACAGGTTAAGAATTGTTATTGGAATGGATTGAGTAATGACCTAGAAATTACTGACAGAACCCTATTCATGACGGACAGAACGCTATTTTTGTCTTACAAAACGCTATTTTAGCTCATTTTTTGGTAGACTGAAATGATAACTCATTTCAAAAAGCTATTCTCATCGAATATATAATTGATGAAAGAAGAATATGTATTTTTTAAATCATGACATAAAAATATTTTGTCAAAGAGCTGATTCCTAGTCAGAGCCAAATTGTAAAATAGCAGCATCAGATTGAAAACAAGAAATGAGCTGAGACAGGGGATAGCGGAGTTTGACTGACTTCAATGCAATGAGACAATGAACTATTTTTACAGGAAGTTCAGAACCGATGGGGGTAATTATTAAAGGAAGGGGAGATAGAGGAGGGGGAATGTGAACATCACTTTAGAGTTGTTTTGTACAATGGATAGTTCATTAACTGGAAGAAGAAAAAAGTTGGAGGTTAACCCCATACATGTCATCGGCAAATCAAATTGTACATCCTCGTAATTCAAGACATCTTTCATAAAAAGAAGCCTGGATGATAATTATGGCTTTCCTTGTAGCTGATAAATGATCAATGCAGTAGAAGAGGATATTAACATCACTTTCAGAAAAAAGAAAGACTGTGGCATTGGAGGATGTCACAGATTGGACATAAAATGACCAGACTTTTCAGGATAGAAGAAAAACGAGTTGGGTCACTTCTGTCCTTCTTCATTATTTTGTATACCATCTCTTTGTCCCTGGGATCCAGTATATAACAGGAAAGATGGGTATTTGGACAATCCCCCATGGGAATCACTAAATGACATACACATCTATTAATTGCTGTACTGTGTCACATTTTAAGCACAATATAAGTGTTTAGAAGGTTATTGAGGGCAATTATTTTCACATTAGATTTAGATAACCTAATAATGAGATTTGTGATCATGAAAGGAAGGCCAGACACATAAAAGATATTATTAGACATTTCAAATGAAATGCATTTTTGCAATACACATTCAATGTATCTGTTTCTTTAAATCATTACTTCAGGTGGTACTATACCATTAAATATGTTTTTTTTTTTTTTTTTTTTTTTTTAATATAATGAATTCTGTATCTGAATGTTTCTGTCAACACAGTCAGTGACCTGATCATGGTATGATGGATACAGTCCAAGATAACATTCCCATGAGGTACCATGGGGAAGGGAGGGAGGGGAACAAGAAAGTGAGGGGGGTAGAAAAGAGGGGGAACAGTCAAGTGAGGTGGGGAGGGTGGGAATAGCTCACAGCAGAGAGAGACAGAGAGTGACAGAGAGAGAGAAAGAAAGAGAAAGAGAAAGAAAGAGAGAAAGAGAGAGGGGAGGGAGAGAGAGAGAAAGAGAGAGAGAGAGAGAGAGGGGGGGGAGAGAAAGAGAGAGGGGGAATAAAAAAAAACAGAATACAAATAAAACAAGGCAAAAGGATAGAGAAAGCAATCAAGAAAAATAAATAGTGTTGCTAATCCCAGCCAGGACATCATCTCTAGAATAATACAAATGCCAACAAAGACTAATGAAAAATCATATTAATTTTAAACAATAACCATCATCCCATCTCCCTGCACTAACCAAGAACATTGACTTTTTGAGACATTGCAGAGCATGCCCCATGAGCACCCATCACAGGTGGACACTGGTGCTATGCAACGATCATCATCACTGTCATCATCACATAAAAATTCATAAAGATTACGTTTTTATTCTATCAATTTCTATTAAACATGCACTAGAGAGAAAAAAGACAAAGATT